CGATAAATCGAAAAGTAAATACATTCAGGAAATCTATGAAAGGATTGAACGTTGTCGAGCCCAGTATATCGCATTTCCTGCAGGTATCGACAGATGCGTGAAGTTACTAATAATGAACAGTTACTTCGGTATCCAACGTTATTGTAAATCATGCAAACAAATCACGTGCAAGTGTAACGAAGAAGAGTGTGATATGATATGATATGATAAAATTGTTGGAGACATGTAGCAAATCGAACGTGATCTGTTGGAGCAATCCAGCCGAGTTGCCACCTTGGGCGAATATTTCGCGTGGGTGCAGCGATGCGACGAGTGCGTGCAACGACTCGAAGAGCACGGTCGGGTCAAGCGTCCGCGGCTCTCGATCGGACACAAGCAATCTGCGGCGGCGAGCATCGTGCGACTCGTAGGCGCAAAGACTTTATTGGAGAGACTTTATACACATCGGTGGTAATTATGCAGGTGGTGGCGCGGAGAGACTCGTTTGGCGAGAAATCGATACCGCGTTTGAAAATCGTATTTTGACCGGTGCGGTGATTAACACAGACTATATCGAGTCGCGACAATTTTTGGAAGACGCTTGCGATATAGTGCTCGAGCGAGTGCAAGACGTTTTACAAATACGCAACAGCATAAAAGTGAACACTACGTTCAACGGTGAATTTGTGTCATGTGAAAAACGTGCAAACAAAAGTTTCAACACGCGAAACTGTGAACTCTTTCGTATGACAGATTTGCGCGAGTGGTACGAGCAGCGCGTCATCGAGCCTACCTTAGCGTCCCTTGAAGAGTTTCAGAAATATATATTATATAGTGGGTGGGCGTTATCGCGCATACACAATTTGATGATTAATATAAACAAGTACAATCCACTGCACGCGGGCTGTTACGTCGAATTACCGCGAGAAATAAAACTGAAGAAAGCGGTAATTAACGTGCAATCTAAGGACAATGCGTGTTTCGCGTGGTCAGTGGTGGCTGCTCTGCATCCAGCTGAAAAACACACAGAACGAGAATCGTCGTATCCCGATTATATGTATAACGGAACTAAACGTGCAAGACATTGAGTTTCCTGTGACGCTTAATCAGATTAAAAAATTTGAACATTCAAACGATATCTCAATTAACGTATTTTGCATTGAGAATAAGGAAATCTTGCCGATACAGCTTACCACCCGGAAGAAGGAAAAGCATGTCAACTTGCTATACGTTCAGGGAGACAACGACGTGGGTCATTTTGCATTGATAAAAAATATGTCCCGCAGTTGACTAAGCACAATGGAAAAAAATATTTCTGCGATTGGTATGTATAATTTTTACATAATAGGTTATGAATAATATAAAAAAATATATTTCCAGATGCTTGCATTACTTTAGTTCGAGTCAAAGGTTGGAAGCTCATATTGTGGACTGTGGAGAGATGAACGACTGCGCGATCAGATTACCGAGTGAGGACGACAAGTGGCTGACCTTCAAAAATTACAACTGTAAGGAACGTGCACCGTTTGTCGTATACGCCGACTTGGAGTGCACTCTGGAAAAGATTGACAAGGATTCGATAACGTCTTCATATGCGTATCAGCATCATGAGGTATTCAGCGTTGGATATTACGTGCATTGCTCGTACGATGATTCATTGTCCACATACAAATCTCGTCGCGATAAAGATTGCATCACGTGGTTCGTCGAGCAACTCAAAGTGTTATCACAACATGTAAAAGAAAAGTTGTCCAATAATGTCCCAATGGAAAATTTATCGAAGGAACAGTGGAGGGCATACCGTAGCGCGACGCATTGCCACATATGTCAAAAACCGTTCGCACTGGGTGACGATAGAGTACGCGATCACTGTCATTTGACCGGAAGATATAGAGGTCCCGCGCATTCGAACTGTAATTTAAGTTATAAAAATTTATATTGTATTCCTGTGGTCTTTCACAATTTATCCGGTTACGATTCGCATTTCATTATCAAAGAAATAGCTACGGCGTACGAAGGACATGTAGAATTGCTTCCAATTACGAAGGAAAAAAACATTTCCTTCACCAAACATGTCACAGGCATCGCTGAAAAATCAGGTTGGCGAAATCGTATGAAATTGCGATTCATCGATTCATACAAATTTTTAACTACCAGTTTCGACAAACTAGCATCTCTTCTCAGCATGGATAATTTGAAAATTACACGTTCAAATTTTTCAAAGTTATCGATGGACGATTTCAATCTATTGACGCGAAAGGGTGTCTTTCCGTACGAGTACGTTGATTGCGTCGAAAAGTTGGAGGACGCGTGTTTACCACCGCGCGAATCATTTTACAGTTCCTTGACCGGTGACACAGTATCCGAGAATGAGTACGCGCACGCTGCGAACGTCTGGCGGCGGTTTGCCATTCAATCCTTGGGCGAGTACAGCGACCTGTATTTGAAAACGGATGTCATGTTGTTGGCGGACATTTTTGAAAATTTCCGAGACAAATGTATCGAGAGTTATGGTCTCGATCCCGCGCATTATTACACATTACCAGGATTCACGTGGGACGCCATGCTTAAACATACGCGTATAAACTTCGAACTCCTCACGGACATTGATATGGTCATGTTTATCGAGCGTGGTATACGCGGCGGCCTGAGCCAATGCTCCGGTAGAAATGCACAGGCTAACAACAAGTATATGCACTCGCATGATCCGTCGAAAGCTTCCTCATACTTGATGTACTTCGATGTAAATAATCTATATGGATGGGCAATGTGTCAACCACTGCCATACGCTGAATTTCGCTGGGTTGACGATGTTGCAGATTTTGACTTTAGCGCGATCGCCTCGGACTCGCCCACGGGTTACATTCTCGAGGTCGATCTCGAGTACCCGCAAAGTATACACGACGAGCACACTGACCTACCGTTCTGTCCGACGCGTGATAAGCCGCCCGGCATGCGGCAGGCAAAACTTCTGGCGACTCTATATTGCAAGAAGCGTTACGTCATTCACTATCGAAACCTACAGCAATGCACGCGTCAGGGTCTTCGCGTCACAAATATACATCGCGTACTACAATTCGCACAATCCGCGTGGCTCCGCGATTATATTGAACTAAATACGCAATTTAGAACGCTCGCCAAGAACGATTTTGAGAAAAATTTGTATAAATTGATGAACAACGCAGTATTCGGTAAAACTATGAAAAATGTACGAAATCGCGTCGATGTAAAATTAATAACTAAATGGGAAGGACGACGCGGCGCGGAGGCAATGATCGCAAAACCAAATTTCCATAGCCGAAGCATCTTTTCGGAAAATCTGATAGCCGTTGAATTGCGCAAACTCGAGGTGAAATTCAACAAGCCGATCTACGTAGGTATGTGCATTCTCGACATATCTAAAATCTGTTTGTATGAATTTCATCACGAGTACATGTTACCTTTATATAGCAACAGATGTAAAATTATGTACACCGACACGGATAGCCTTATATACCACATCCAGTGCGAGGACGTGTACGAGACGATGAAACGTGATTTCATAGATTTGACACGAGCGATTATCCGACAGATAACGCGTACGATATTCCACTTGTTAATAAAAAAGTGCCAGGTTTAATGAAAGATGAAAATAATGGTGAGATAATGACAGAATTCGTAGGACTCAGAGCGAAGATGTACGCGTTGAGGGTAGACGGTAAGAAAGATACAAAGAAGGCTAAAGGCGTAAAGAGTAACGTGGTAGCGCGAACGATAACGTTCGACGATTACACGCGGTGTCTCAACGATGAGATAGAAATGACCCGCCAACAGACTTGTATAAGATCGAAGCTGCATGAGGTGTACACTGTAGCCGAAACGAAAATCGCTCTGAGTCCGTACGATGACAAGCGATACGTTGTGCCTGATACCACAGAAACGTTGCCATGGGGACATTACAAAATACCGTTGTAAATATTTTATAAATTCATTTTTATAAATTCATTTTATTTGTAATCAGCATAGATATATTTTATCAACATAGATTATAATAAATTTGTAATCAGCATAGATATTACAATAAATGTATGTTTACAAAACATTATCCGTGCATATCCACGAATTATGTGATTTATTGAGTCCCAACCATTTCATGTAAACCTCATTTCCTCTTTTCCGTAACACTTTCTCAACGAGGTACACAACGGGATTAGCTACACGCTACAACTCGTGTTCATAGAATCCTCCAGCGATGGGTTTTCCACAGGAATCCTCCAGTATATACGTCACGGGATTAGTTTTCTGCACTTTGCCGATTTTAAACACCTCAGTCGACCAATTTGGTGTGTA